CCCTGGAGCGGAGCAAGGCAACAAAACGTAAGCAGCATTTTACGGCGCGCCTTGAGGGGGTTTCCCGACATGTCGTTGCAGTAAATTAAAGGGTGTTTCATGTTGTCGTTGCTGTGGACCTTCTTAATCTACCTTCTTTGGGGGGCCCCTTCTGGTCCGGGGCCCCAAGCAGTTGCCTGCCTTGCCTGTTCGCAAGGAGCGCCCCTGTATACATCATGTTCCACATTTAACCCTTGTGTTGTCTTTCTGTCAACTGTGCAACTTTTGTCTTCGTGTTTTGACTCTTTATAAAGCTTATAGTATAAATAATTACCCACTTGGTTTTAGTTGTACTCTTCTCATTGAAATGACGGTCAATAAGAGTTCATTAGCACAAAATCAAACCTAATTTCTGAGTTAAAAAAGGCAAAAATGTTGATGATGATTTCACTAAATTGACCCCAGAAGACCACAGATGCTATACATTGGAATACAATCAAAAACCCAGTGATAGTGTTCATAATAAATTGTGTGGAAAAATGTAGTTTACAAATAAAAACATATTTTGTATCCGTCATTAACATAAAATAAACCTTTATCCCGACAAAAGACATTTGGGAACGGGTCAAATTTGAGCCAAGGACAACAGGAAGGTTGTCAAAAAAGTGTTACAATTGTTTGGTAAAAGAACATTGTGTTTTTAACACAATGTTCTTTTACCAAACAATTGGAACACTTTACGGATTGTTACTTCTGCAATATTTGTACTTCCACTATCATCACTGCTAGTTAGTATTAAATGAATTACTTAGAAGCTTTAGTCGGGCCTCAGGATCAGAAACCGCCTCCAACAGGCCGCTGAGGTCGGACGGGACTTCCAGCAGGAACTTCTTCTCTATTTTCAACATTAAGTCATTGTCTAACACCTGTGGTGAGAAACAGGCGGCAGAGAGAAAGACAAATATGAGCTAGTGGAAAGAAATCAGCAGTGAGTGTGAAGGAACCACAGGGTACCACACTCAGGAAGTGAGATTAAGTTTGAACACCATTTAAAAAGGGTGACTCAACAACATGTCCTCATACCTTAATCGAAAATGCAGCACATACACATTCTAAGATTAAAATGAATTGAAATAAGTAGGTTGGTGTAGGGCTGCTCAATTAATCATATTTTAATCGCAATTACGATTTGGTCTTGAAACGATTATGAAAACAACATGATCTAAATAAAACGATTATTTATTCATTTTAATTAATTTTTTTTTTCTTCTTTTGGTTTTTCAGTTGAATTGTACTTAAAGTTCAGGGTAATCAACTGTTAAAAACATACTATTAACCTTTTTTTTAAATAAATGGATGTTTTCAAAGTAAATGGATAATCGTTTTTAATAATCGTGATATCAATTATTGACCCAAATAATTGAGATTATGATTATTGCCATAATCGAGCAGCCCTAGGTTGGTGTTGAACTGCCCGTCCTCTCTCACCTTAAACCGCCTTTTACATCAAGAGTTAGAAAGGTGAGAAATGATTTTATCTTGTATGACATCAAACTGAGTTTCGGTGTTTTTTTTAAGTATCTATATTTATATGATTCAAGGTGGACAAATGAAAGAGCTAGTTAAACCTAAGCCACCACATGATAGAAAATAGATTAAATTAAATAAACAAATCAATATAAAATAAATACACACACCTATCATGATATACACATATATAAAAAGTATACATCATAACAAATATACAAATATATAATTTAATTGGGTATATATATATATATATAGAGAGAGAGAGAGAGAGAGAGAGAGAGAAAGAGAGAGTGGACAGAATGTAATTATATTGTTTTGATATCTCTCTCTCTCTCTCTCTCTCTCTCTCTATATATATATATATATACCCAATTAAATTATANATCAGGCAACTAACAAAACCAATTAGAAAAAACATCCAGGCGAGGAAATCCTTTGGTGCTAAAATGCTAAAAGTAATGAGTGCTAAATGCTGAAAGTAATGTGTGTTTAAGATTCTTTAAGAGGGAAACATTTATGGTTTTTAAACACTCACACATTCTGTTTGTTCTCCTTTTCCCTCTGCTTCCAGGTGACGGAGGAAACGGCCCAGATGGTGGAGAGCGTGGGATACAACGTCACTCTGAGAGGCGTCGTCAACGTGAAGGGCAAAGGGGAACTCACCACCTACTTCATCGACAAGGACCATTTGTTCCCCCAGTACTGAGCTGTGGAGATGCTAAACAGACTAATCACTCAGACCTGGGGTCCAAACTTTAGCAGCTAATGTTGGATTTCATGAACTATTACCTTCCTGTGAGCATCACACACTTCGCACTGACTTTAAGAAGCTGCCTTGGTCTTCTGGATGAGACACCAAATACAATCTGGATCAATTTAAATGAAGAACTGGAAACTGAAAGCAGAGTTTTCTCCTCAGGGATCGTTTAATGGCACATCATGTTGCTTACACTGTATTATTCTGAGAACATATTATCTGAAATGATCGTTTTGGTACATTTAACACTTCTGAAATACATGCACTATCCAACAGTGTTCATGTACCTGTGATTTATTAGGGACAAAAGATAGATGTACCAAAGATTACAGTTGTTTAATGAAGGATATGAAAGGTAGTTTATACCTCAAATACGCATATATATATCAATATAATTGTTTTATTTTAACTTATTTACATGGTTTCACTCCATTGTGGTTTTACTGAGTAACGAAACGGCATTTAAAACATGTTACAGAAGTGTCTTTAAATGTAGGAAACATGGGGTTAAACAATATGTGTACTTTGAAGAGTCATGTGATACTCATTGGTGTTTCCACAGGTTCCCATCCTCCACTATGGTGGGTTACGAGATTATTCACAGTAATCTATGCTTTTATGTGAAACTCTTGATAAGTTAACCAATGAAAATGACTCATTTCACTCAAGCTCTCGCGACCCATACACATTTACAAGTACACATTATTTACTAAAGGTGTCACAAACCATATAAAGTAAGGAGCCACTGGTTAACGGTACGATCGCTCACTGCTGGAGACGGAGAGCTGTGCTGCAACCATGTTGATTTAAATAAGAATCGTTTTTATATTCACTACTGCCCACAACTGACACATTAAGCTACAACACTTCAGCATCCTGGTATACAGATGTATTGTGCCATGACAAGTCTGATAAAGCACATTCGATATTGCACTTTTACGTATGTTGTCCTATATGTTGTCTTTTTTTAAAGGTAGTTCTGCATTACAATCCAAGTGTTGATTGAATATTTATCCTTTTCTTTTGAGTATGTATTTCTGTGAGGGATGATGTGGAAGTGTGAATGCAAGTAAAAAAGTGTATGTTCATTATAGAGAAATATTTTTCTATTTTATTTATAAACTAATAAAGAAGATACAGCTATATTCTGTCTGTGTGTATCAGATTTTTCTCTATTCAAGAAAAAGACATCAAACATACACACAACACATTGACATCAGGGGGTACCTACACATATCTACAGAGAACAATTAAAAAATACCATATTGTTGTAATTCTAAGTTATAATGTGCAATATTTGGTTTAGAATCAGTCCATGTCTTTTCTTTAATGTGACATTTTCTCAAAAACATTATATTTTTGCATAAATACTACATTCCGTGTGAAGAACTGTGGAATTTCCCGCAGTCTCGGAAACGACCACGTGCGCTGTGATTGGCTCAAACAACTCGCCCGGTGAACTTTTCTCACTTCCTATTGGCTCCCGCTGGTGACTGTCACGCTGCTTCCTGCTTCACGGTGCGGTTTGTTGTTACTGAAGCGTAGCTCCTTTAAATGTGAAGGGAACTATATTGACGTTCAGAGTTGATGAAGTTGGTGAGTGTTTTATAAAAGCCTACATATTTTTCAAACAAAGTTAACTACGTGATTTGTCCGTCGAAAATGTAGTGGCGATATAGTTTGTTTTAAAGAATGGACCTCCTTTTGAATTAAGTAAGTTTAGAGTTACCTGTCGAAGGTGAACTCGCATTTCCACCCTGTTTGTCGTGGTTTTAAAACTACTCTTGATTCATCTTACAGGTTATATAATGGACTTAATTCCTTCGTGAACCCGGCTATAGACAAAGACACGCAGAAGATGTCAGGGGCTCATGAGCAAACCAGGAAGCGACGCCCCCAAAAAATGTTCTTGATCTCGACCGACCTGAAAGTTCAGGACCAGGTGGACGGAACCATTAAGCTGCTGCGGGGGTTCATCTGCAAGGAGCAAGAGGCGGGCCGGAGCAGAGGCGACAGCTACTGGGTCAAGGTATAATAAACACACATATTCTTAAAAGACAGACTATCAATTACAATGGACATAAGTGTAAGAAAGTAAAGAAAACATGAATAGTTTACCCAGTAAGCCTTTATATTTGCATGCATCAAATAAACTTGATCTCATATTGTATGCATGTAATATTAAGTTAGCTAATTATGCAAGCTATAGCAAACCAGCCCATACTACTGTAACTTCTCCTTTTTATCAAAACAATATAATTACATTCTGTCCACTCTCTCTTTCTCTCTCTCTCTCTCTCTCTCTCTCTCTATATATATATATATATACCAGGTTTCATCATGACACAATATCCATTCTCTGGACGATGATACGATATTTACGAAAATCACATATTTGATCATTTAAAACTCCTTTATAATAAAAATAATTCAATTGGACGTCCTGTGGTTCACTTGAGTGCCAATGGTTCTCAAGCGCAAAGGAATTTCAAAATAAAGGCATATCTCAAAAATGATGATATGGAACTTTTTTTTGTTATATCGATTGATTATAATGAGTTGATTGAATGACATCGAGAAGTTGACTCAGACACAAGCGTTTATTTCAAACTGTTGGTCGAGATATTTATGGCAACTATGGATCAAAACCAAAATACCAAAGGGCAAACACACACACGTTTTAAACAGGTTTGACTAAAATAAGTTTCATCCCAATTTCCAAGTGGTACTTAAACTATTATATTTTGGTGGACGTATAACTGTATACACATTTCTATATACTTTATGTTCATGCGGAATAGAAATGTATACAAATGGAATATTACAGTTTTTCTCGGTTGCTAACACACGAAAATTATACATAAAGCACAATTATTTTAACTGACACTCAAAGAGCAAAACATCGGCTGAAATCTCCAAAACTCTAAACACGTTTTCAGCTTTTCACACAATTTGCAAATCAACCTGGCACTTTTTGCAAACCACTGCACCCGTTTCTCCACGTAAGACACAGGAATCTGACATAAAGTCACGTGTTAGTTGGTTTAAAACACTGATATTCAAAATGCCTCACACACGGACCAATGATCAGGAAACACGTTCCACCTGACCAAACACCTGAGAGCATGACTCATCAATCAGGATGTTAGCACTATGAAAAGACCACAGGTGAGTACTTTCTTACAGCAACAATGGAAGCCAACATGGAAGCAAAAGAAAGAGGAAGAGGAAGAGCTGGGCTGTTCTTGTAGCTCTGTACTATTGAATTATTTTAAATGAGGTCCCTTCCTTAATCTTAAACCCCACGGACCCGTATCCGGGGCCGAAATCGCGTCATTTGAAGGAAACAACGTCTAAGGAACCTTCATATTTAATAAACTATGAATGTTTTATATCCATATAACGGGAAA